CCTAGGTATCTAAGACTTTCTGAACCTGAATTTGTCATTTCCAAACCTAAGCTCTCCACACCAGACATCAGAATATTCAGTACATACGAAACAGAATGAAAGCAAATTTACAATCATGACCAAACCAAATCACAGTATGATAGCTTCCTCAGAAAAATGCCCAGTTCAGACTCACTGCCATCGAGTGGGAACCAGTTGATGCGTAGCTGGCCCTCTAGTGGGTTTCTGAGTCTGTAACTCAGGGAAGAGATTGCTCATCTTCCTCCCAAGGAGTGGCTGGTGGATTGGAATTACTAGTGAGGTTCTACTTTCGTGTTAGCAGCACGACTCTTTACAAACAGCACCACCAGAGCTCTCTCAGTGTGCTGCTAACTTAATGCTGTTTTCATACCAGACCTGCCTTGGACTATACCCACATACATCCTATTCTAGCTGAGACTCACATATGTTCTCTCTTCTGGAAAAGTAAAGTTGAAGATTCTAAAGCTTTATGGAAACTAATTGGGAATTGTTTCTATTCACGCAGTGTTTTTGTTTTTTAGGGATAATTTCTCTCCTTTGGTTGTAAATTTTATTGGTCAAATGTTTCCAATTCAGAGACTACATCTGTAATACTAAATTTTTGCACTAAGATTATGTAGGACGCTCTGGTGGCTTAGTGGTAAGGAGTGCTGCCAACCCTAAGGCATGCAGTTTGAATCCACCCCCTGCTTCACAGAAGGGTGAACAATCTCCTGTATGGTTTACTGCCTCTAAACACCCAGCTATGGTTGTTTCCAACTTGATGGCACACTACAACATGTAATTGTAGAAAACTTTCAAGTATTATTTTTTTGTTTCTCAGTTCAATATTATTTCACAGAGGTAGCTTCTTTATCAACCAGAAAGTTTGTTGGTTTTTGTTTCTGTTGGGATTTTTTTTTGTGAGAAAAATTTGTATTTAGAATTAGCCAGTTGGACTCTATTTAGCTGATCCCAACTTTGTTGGCAACATCCAAAGCATCATAGTCTGGAGCAAGTCGAACATAGGCCTTCTTCTCTCCATTAGGACTAATCAAAGTGTTGACCTTAGCCACATCAATGTCATAGAGCTTATTTATAGCTTGTTTAATTTTGTACTTGCTGGCCTTGACATCCACAATGAACACAAGTGTGTTGTTATCTTCTACCTTCTTCATAGCTGACTCAGTGGTCAGGGGAAATTTGATGATGGCATAGTGGTCAAGCTTGTTTCTCCTGGGGGCACTCTTCCGGGGTATTTGGGCCGCCTTCAGAGTCTCTGCATCTTATGCCGCCGGAAGGTGGGTGATGTGTGGATCTTTTTTTTGTTGTCTGTGGATGCCCTTCAGGACTGCCTTCTTGGCCTTTAATGCCTTTGCTTTGGCTTCAGTTTTTGGAGGGGCAGGGGCTTCCTTCTTCGCTTTCGGCGCCATCTTCGTAGAAAGACCAAAAGTATTTTTAAGAACCTAATATTTGATCCTACTTTGTAATTTATACTTTTACAGTACATTTTCTAGGGGACTCTGCTGGTGTAATCTTTAGGGAGTTGTGCTGCTAACCCCAAGGCTGTGCTGCTCTGGAGATTCAAATCCACCAGCGGCTCTGCAGGGAAAAGAATGGGCATTCTCCTCCTGTGCATTTTATGGCCTTGGAAGCCAATTTTATTGGGTCAGCTATTAGTTTTTACATGACAACAATGAGTAGAATGTTTGATCCTACTATGTTATTTCTGAAGTTTGTTTTTATGAATTTTCTTATCATTCACTCACCACGCCAGTGAGAGTAGTGATAATGGAGTCATTTTACGGAAGGAAAAAATTCTAGGTTCAGAGAAATGAAGCAATATCTTTTCATTCATAGCGAGCTCTGGTGAACTAGTGGCAAGAAGCTGCACTACAAACCCAGAGGTATGTGGTTTGAATCCACCAGATGCTATGCTGGAGAAGGAGAGGCAGTATCCTCCTGTACCAATCAGATCTGATTTGATTGTACATACACACCAAAATAACAAAATAAAATAAAAATTAAAAAAAATCTTTTCATTCACATAGCTAGTGAGAGCTTTGAATCTATCTTTTGATTGATAGGAAATATTTAGCAGGAATGGCATCCACTGGAAACTCTATAAACTGATAAATCTCAATAGTTACAGAAAGGCTTCAGGTCTTTTGTTCATAAGGTCACTATGAGTCATGCTTGACTTGAAGGCAGTCAGCAACAACAATGATAATTAATGTAAAAATTTACAACTAATGATTAAAATATAATGAAGTACAAATTTAATGACTAATGTTATAGAAAGGAGCTCTGGTGGTCTAGTGGTAACCAAAGTCATGCAGTTTGAATCCATAGCTGCTCAGCAGGAGAATGATGGTCAATCTCATGTGCAATTAACTGCCTCTGAACACCTCATGGTGGGCCAGCTATGAGTTGAGTCAAGTTAATAGGATACAACGTTATAGATATTATAAATATTGTTGTTATGTGCTGTTTAGTCACTCGTGACTCATAGCAACCCTATGTATAACAACCCTATGTATAACCCTACGTACAACAGTTTCGAACCCTGCTCTATCCTGAGCTAACTTCACCAACACACCCATTCCCATTATCACAGTTACTGTCTTGCACTGTCTGTCCCTCCACCCTCCCAAGTTTGATGTCCTTTTCCAAAAACTGGTCCCTCCTTGCAACATGCCCAAAGTTGTCAGACAAAGCTTGAGAATCCTTGACTCCGGGGAGCAGCCTGGTTTCACCTTCTCCAGTTTATGCCAACAACATTAGAATTTTACAAAGTCATCAACTAGATTTGGGAACAAAATTAAAGAAGTTAAATAGTGTGGTACAGATTGCATAATTGAGAAAACAAAATTAAATTAATTTATAAATATTTAAGAATTGTGTTAGTATACCCAGAGCATAAATGATAACATAGAAAAGCTTAAAAAACCAAAACAACTATGAAATACCGTCTCACCCCAGTAAGAATAGCAAAATTGAACAGAACAGCAAACAACAAATGCTGGCAAGGTTGTGAAGAAACTGGAACCCTTATTCACTATTGGTGGGAGTGTAAAATGATGCAACCACTGTGGAAAGTGGTGTGGTGCTTTCTCAAAAAGTTGCAAATACAGATACTATTTGACCCAGTAATTCCACTACTGGGAATATACCCTAAAGAGACCATAACCGACATCCAGGCACACCCATGTTTATTGTGGCTTTGTTAACAATAGCAGAGTTGGAAACAACCTAAGTGCCCATCAACAAACGAATGGATAGAGAAGCTGTGGCATATTCACACAATGGAATACTACGCTGCATTGAAAAACAAGGAACTCATGCAATATTATTCAAAATGGGTGACCCTGGAGGACATTATGCTGAGTGAAATATCTCAGTCACAAAAGGACGAATACTGCATTATCCACTGTTGTAAAACAAGACTGGCATCGGGGTTCAGGGGGAGACTGAGAAAGATGGGATAAATAATGTATGCTGCATTGAAACAGATGAGGGAGAAAACTATTTAAAAGGGATATGTGATTAGGTATTGTCATGGCAGGATTCCAGAACGAAGGCTGCATAGTGGAGTGGACCTGGGGGGAAGGATTGTAAAACAATGAAAGAATTTTATTCTACTTTTCAAAGAGAAAAGTGTACTGGGAGGAGAGGGGTGGGAAAGGAGGAAAGTGCAACAATCAGTGAATGGAAGTCCAAAGTCTCTGTAAATTTTCATTAAAATTAATAATACACACACACACACACACACACACAATTTGGGGAGAATATATTGTCCTTAACTGACATCTCTCTTTAATAATTTCTTTCTGTTTTTCTTTTTTTTTTCCTTTCTTTCTTTATGTCCTTCAATTTTTTACTGCTCACTTTGGTCACTTCTACATATTTGATTTATTATTAATGTAATTTTTTCCCCCAAATGATAAAAATATTTTGTCATCTTTCCTGCTATATTTATTATAAAAGGCTGAATTTTTGGTTATAGTTTCAGTAAACATTCCCTGTCGTGTATACTTGTGATTTCATCTATATTTGTGATGTTACATGCATTAATGGACATTTGTCAAATTTGAAAAGCCTCTGTCACATTACCCTCATATCTAAGCTGCTACATTGTGGAAATTTCAAGATTTTCTCAGATTGAACCTGAGTGTGAGTTCATCAACCTGAGGACATGTGTTCACTGAAAGGTCATCTTTTATGCTCTTTCCCCCCCCAGCCACTTGCAGTTAATGAAAGATTTCAGCATGAACTATTTTTTAAAATATAAACTTAGAACTATCTTATACTCAAAAAGAAAAAGAAAAAAAGAAAAGCTTAAAGTTTTGAGAATTGACTCATAGTGACCTATATTTGTCAGAGTAGAACTGTTCTCTAGAATTTTCAATGGCTCATGTTTTGAGTAGATTACCAGACCTTTCTTCAGAGATGCTATTAGATGGATTTGAATCTGTAGTCTTCGAGCTGGTCAACAAATGAGTTTTGACCACCAGAGGTTCCAGAAAAATAACACTGTGTATAGTACTTATGTTTTTGTTATGCAAGTATGGCATTTCTCATTAAAGTTTAATACTAAATATGCAGTATTTTGAGAGGAAATTACTAAATCTCCCTATTTCTTTTTAAAATGTTTTTCAGGTATTTTATTCGAAGGAAGAAATAGCTGTTGATCTAAGATGGAATCTGTTGTTTGGGAATGTGGTTAATCAGCTTGATATGCTGGCCAGATGTGCCCAATGTAATAAAATGAAAAGAAGAGGCAAGATGATGTCATTTTCCCTCATTGTGAAACCAAAAACAAATGCCCTTTGTGAGACCAAGCTAACAAAGCTCTGATGATGTGTGAAGTATTTAACTGTTTGAAGAACTCAACAGTAAGCTGTAGAAGAAATACATTCAAGCTGAGACCTGCAGGTGCATAAAGATCTAAAAATATTGAGTAAACGTCATCTTTTGGATCTCATTCAGATCCTGGAAGAATGGCTATGACTTGGATTGTCTTTTATCTTTGGCCTTTGACTATATTTATGGAGCATATAGTGGGGCACAGTTTGTTTTCTTGTGAACCTATTACATTGAGAATGTGCCAAGATTTGCCTTATAATACTACCTTCATGCCTAATCTTTTGAATCATTATGACCAACAGACAGCAGCGTTAGCAATGGAGGTAAGGCTTGATCTATTCTTTCTTGTATCTTAGAAAGTAACTGTTATCTTGCCCTGTTAACTAAGGAATCTATCTGATAAACAATAGGAAGGATGCACTATTTGAAAGTATATCTTATACATTTAAAAATTCTGTTTAAATGCAAACTCAGATTGAAGAATTTGGGTTTTGGTTGTGTTATTCTTAATTTTAGATATTATGTTTTTATAAAGTTATAAGGGTAGGTGATAACAGTCATTCAGAAATTTAAGTGTTCAAATTATTATTATTCTGTTATTTGACAAGTTATAAAATTTCATACGAAGAACAAAATATAATATTCATTGTTCAGTCATTAAACAGTGACTGAATGTTATTGAGGAGCCTTTGGTGACCTGGTATAAGAAATTGTTCTATAATCCCAAAACCCTGCAGTTCAAATCCACCAGTTGTTCTGCGGGAGAAGGATGGACATTCTCCTGTGTGATTTACTCCCTCTATAAACCCACTGAAACATCAGCTGTGGGTCAGTTCTCACTACTTAGCACATAATAACAATAACAACAGTGTGATTGAAGTAAAAATGAGTTGGTTTTAAATTTTCATAATTTATATAGTATTTGAATTTTCTAAAATGATTGTCTAGTCTTAGCTAATCAGATGAATTTAAAGAAAAATTCTCAAGCAACGCAGAAGTTCTAAAGTTTTTATGTTTTGAATTATCTGGTTTTAACCTCTTGGAGATTTTATGTTAAATCAGTGCCTTCCTTGAATTTTTCTGATGATGAGTTCATAAATTTTTCTTGATGATATTATTTTACTAACTATGAAAGTATGTATGTGTCTATAAGGACCTTGGAATTGTTCTCTGAATATGTTTATCAATAACAACTGTTCTTATGTGCCATTGAGTCAGTTTTGACTCATAGTGACTGTGTGGGAGGGTAGAATTGCCTCATAGGGTTTCCCGCATTGCAGTGTTTATGGGAGTGGATCGCCATGTCTTTTCTCCTGCTCATTGATGAGTTTTAACAACAATCTTTTGAACAGAAATCAAGCACTTAGCCCTTGCACTTAACAAGGGCTACTTAGATGAGAAGTTGTTGACTAAAATTAATAGTGACCCAGTGAACAGTAGGTCTGAATCTTGCACAATCCCGCACCATCATCACAATAACGTACGCAAACCAATTGTTATAGGCAATGTCAATCCATCACGTTGAGGGTCTTATTCTTTCTCTTCTCTTCCACCTTTCCCAGTGTGATGTCTTTTTCTAAGAAATCCCCCCTCATGACAAAATGTTCAAAATATGTGAGGTGAAGTTTCACCACCCTTGCCTCTAAGGAGCATCCTTGTTGAACTTTTTCCAAGACTGACTTGGAATATCAACAACCCATAAATATCCAGTATTCTTCACCAATACCACAATTTAAAGGCATCAGTTCTACTGCTGTCTTATTCATTGTTCCCCTTTCATTTGCATAGCAAGCAACTAAAAATACCATGGCTTGGATCAGGCACACCTTATGTCTTTCAACTAATATCACTGATCTTTAGTACATAGGAGAAGTCCTTTACAGCAGAGTTTTCTCAAGGCAACACATCTTTTGATTTCTTTTTTTTAAAAAAAAATTTTTTTTCATTGTTGCCTATTTTCTTCACATGCCCTCTAGTCCCTTGTTCCAGATTGTTGTCATATATAAAATGCCTAATCATATATTCCTTTTGGACAGTTCTTTTCCTCATCTGTTCTAATGCATTGTTCATTATCCATCCATCTTTTCCCATTCTTTCTCCAGCCCCCCGCCACGTCTGTCTTGTTTTATAACAGTGTTGTTTATTCAGTATTTATCTCTTTGTGACTGCAGTATTTCACTCCACATAATGTCTTCCAGGCTCCCTCATGTTGTGTAATCTTTTAAAGTTCATTATTTTTCCAGTGCTGCCTAGTATTCCTTTGTGTTAATGTACCATCATTTTTCTGTCCATTCATTTGTTGATGGGCACTTGGGTGCTTCTGTCTCTTTGCTATTGTGAATACATAGCAAAAAAACATGGGTGTACATACATCTGTTTGGGTCTTGGCTCTGGTTCCTTTAGGGTATATTCACAGTAGTAGAATTGTTAGGTAATATAGTATTTCTGTTTGACTTTTTGAGAAAGCACCAGCACTTTTAATAGTGGCTATTTTTATTTTATTTTATTTTTTGCCATTTTACATTCCCATCAACTGTGAATAAGAGTTCCAGTCCCTCTACAATCTCACCAGCATTTGTTGTTTGTTCTTTTGATTTAATTGCTGTTGCTAGGATGTTGATTGTGGATCCAAATCAAATGAAATCCTTGACAATCTCTATCTTTTCTCCATCTGTCAGGATGATGTGTATTGGCCCAATGGTGAGGATTTTTGTTTTCTTGAGGTTGGGATGTAACCCATATTGTAGGCTGTGGTCTTTAATCTTCTTTAGTAATTGCTTCAAGTCATATTCATCTTTCTACAACCAAGGTTATGTCATCAACAAATACAGGTTATTGATGAATCTTCAAGCATAGGTTTTACAATTAAGTTTCAACCAAAAAAGAATTGGCTGATGTCAAACCATTTTAGGATGTGCCATATGATCAAAAACTGTTAAGGAAGGAAAAAAATTCAAGCTTCACAGAAGACATTGGCAAAAAATAAAAGTCCCAGGAGTTGATAGAATACCAGTTGAAATGTTTTTAACAAACAGATGTAGTTCTC